TGCTTGCTTGCTTCCTTCCTTCCTTTCCTTGCTTGCTTGCTTGCTTGCTTCCTTCCTTCCTTCCCTCCCAGTCCTGGAGCTTGAACTCTGGACTTGGGTGCAGGCCCTGAGCTTCATTTGCTCAAGGCTAGTGCTCTACCACCTGAGCCACAGAGCTACATCTACTTCTGACTTTTTCTGAGTAGTTTATTAGAGATAAGAGTCTCACAGACTCTCTTGCCTGGATAGGCTTCGAACCGAGATCTTAGCCTCCTGAGTAGGTAGGATTTCAGGTGTGAGCCACTGGCACCCAGCTTGTGGGTTGATTTTATTAACAGTAAGTACCCCAAGGCTTAAGATATGGCAGGAACTGGGCTACTTAATACCTTAATACTTCAAACTCTTAGGCTGAGACGTGCCAACTACGACTCAGGGCAGGTATGATTTAATCCCTGTTTTATAAAGTAGGAAGCCAAAGCTCAGTGAGCGTAAGGTTCCTGTCTAAGGCCATACTACTCAGGAATGGGGGCAGGGCTTTTAGGCCAGTGCTATTTTTATTGTAAGACACTTAGGCAACCATGCTGGTGGTTTGTGCCTATAATCTTAGCTACTCAGGAGGCTGAGATCTGAAGATCACAGTTCAAAGTCAACCCAGGATAGTCCATAAGATTATCATCTCCAATTAACCACCAAAAATCAGGAGTGGAGCTGTGGTTCAAGTGGTAGAGTGCCAACCTAAGTGTAAAGCTAAGGGACAGTGCCCAGGACCTGAGTTCAAGCCCCAGTACAGGCATAAAAAACAATCAAACAAAAAATAATTATCTAATGGAGACCCCCATGTTCCCTCCATGTTCCCTCCTCCCCCCAGGGCTTGAACTCAGGGCCTGGGCACTATACCTGTGGCTTGAGTCAGTATGCACTTGAGCCACAGCTCCACTTCCAGCTTTGTGTGTGTGTGTGTGTGTGTGGTTAATTGGAGATTAGAGTCTTGTGAACTTTCCTGCCTGCTGGCTTTGAATCTACATCTTCAGATCTCAGCCTCCTTAGTAGCTAGGAATAAAGGTGTGAGCCACCAGCACCCAGCTGAATGATTCATTTTGACCACATTGTCATTAGGCTCCTCTGAGCAATCTTCTTGACAAGGTCTCAATCTTGGTCAGCTTAGCCCAATTTCAGCAAAGAATTCTGTGAATTAATTTAATGCAACCCACTCCCTCCGATCAGACCTTTATCCACAATGGTTGACCTCTATGTCTTTGGCCTACCCTTAGTAAGAACCTCCTGCTTTGATATCAAGTTCTGCTTGTCATTTCCGACTTTTTCTTCTATTTTTATCAAAAGTATTCCTGTGCTGGTTTTATGGCTTGAACTCAGGGCCTGGGTGGTATCCCTTTGTTTTTTATTTTTCGCTCAAGGGTGGTGCTCTGCCATATAAGCCACACCTCCACTTCTGGCTTTTTGGTTGTTACTTGGAGATAAGAGTCTCCAGGAGCTTCCTACCCTTGTTGGCTTTGAACCTGGATTTTCAGATCTCAACCTCCTGAATAGTTAGGATTACAGCTGTGAACCACTGCACCCAGCATTTTCCACATTTTCTACTTGATAATTTCCAAATTTTCAACTTGAAAATTTCTACTTTGGTTACAAATCTCCAGTTCCCATTGTTGTATCTGGAGTTAAGTTCAATCTTTCCCTATTGCAATAATCTCTTTTTTTCGGAGGGCAGGGGGTGGGGGTGGGGGTGGGGGTGTGCTTTTCCAGGGACTTGAACTCAGAGCCTGGGCCTTGTTCCTGGACTTTTTTTTTTTTGCTCAAGCCTCGTACTTTACTACTTGAGCCCTACTCCAGCTCTGGCTTTTTAGGGTTTAATTGGAGTCTCATAGACTTTCTTGCATGATCTGGCTGCTTTGAACCAGATCCGCAGATCTCATCCTCCTGAGAATTAAGGATTACAGGTGCCAACCATTAGTACTTGGCAATTACAATGGTCTTCAATAAAATCTTCCACACCTTTTCTAACCAGCAATAAAGACCCCTCCCCCCACCCCCCCCTGTAAACATGGGTCACCACCAAAGCTAGGAAGAGGCAGAGGAGGATCCAACCTAGAGTCCTCAGGGGGGAAGCTTGGGCTGCTGACACCCCAATTTCACACTCCTGGAAGTGTGCATGCCTCTGTGGGAGTGTTGGGCCTCCTAGTTTGGCATACACTAGGAGCTTACTACACACTAGAAGCCAGACTAGGCACTGGGCTGCAGTTCATGCATACATACCTTCTGGGAGTAGTTGAGTGCCTTTTCTATCTCGGCTATGATAATACTGATGTCATCACTCTCATAAATGCCTGGGAACAAAGCAAGTCATGAGTGGGGTGAGGGGGGCATGTGGAGGGGACACTAGCCCAAGGGGCCAGATGAGTTATAATCACCAGTAACTTAGATGGACATATGCCAGGGCATTTTAGGGCACAGAGCCATCACAATGCTACTAACGTTATAGCCACACAAATATCACTGAGTCAGGGAGGCTGGAGGCACTGTCTCTCAGCCTTGATAACTCCTATGTTGTTGTCATGATGGTTTGGGTATGTGCACACCCCTCAAGATATTATTTACTTCATGCATTCATCAACCCATCCACTTGTTGCTTGCTGAAATGAGTATATAGAAGAGAAAATGTAAGCTGGGCACTGACGGCTCACGCCTGTAATCCTAGCTACTCAGGAGGCTGTGATCTGACAATTGTGGTTCAAAGCCAGCCCAGGCAGGAAAGTCTGTGAGAATTTTATTTCCAATGAACCAGCAAAACGCTGGACGCGGAGCTGTGGCTCAAGTGGTAGTGCACTAAACTTGAGTGGCAAAAAAGCTCAAGGATTGCATTCAGGCCCTGAGTTCAAGCTCCAGAACCAGATACACACACACACACATACACACACACACACACACACTCACATGCTTGCATGTGTGCACGCACTAAAACATTGTATCCAGGGCTGGGAATGTGGCTTAGCGGTTGAGTGCTTGCCTAGCATGCATGAAGTCCTGGGTTTGGTTCTTCATGTACCATATGTACAGAAAAAGCTGGAGTGGCACTGTGGTTCAAGTGGTAGCAAAAGAAGTTCAAGGGATAATGCCCAGGCTCTGGGTTCAAGCCCCATGACTAGCAAAAAAAAATGTATTCAAATATAAAATTTACCATTTGATTCTTTTTTTGTGTGTAGAGTAGTGATAGAGAGGACTGAGAATGGAACCTAGGGCCTTATGTATGCAAAACACTTTTTCTTTTCTTCTTTTTTTCCCCCCCTATGGTCATGGGGCTTGAACTCTGGGCCTAGGTGCTGTCCTGGAGCTCCTTTGCTCAAGGCTAGTGCTCTATCACTTTGAAACACAGCCCCATTTCTAGTTTTCTGGTGCTTCATTGGAGATAAGACTATCACAGACTTTCCTGCCCATGCTGGCTTTGAACCTTGATCCTCAGATCTCAGTTTTCTGAGTAGCTAGGATTACAGGCATGAGCAACCAGTGCTGGGCTTGTAAAGTACTTTTTTATACCACTGAGCTTCATTTCAGTTGGATCATGTCTAAGTGTACACAGGTCAGTGTCATCAAACACTTTCTGACTTCTAGAACAGTAGTTTTGTATTATTTATTTACTTACTTATTTTACTATTTTGGTTAATCCGGGGCTCATGCAGTACAATGTACTTGCCCTACCAGCTCCTAATTTTTATTTATTTATTTTTAATATTCTCTTTTGGTGCTAGTTCTTGAACTTAGGGCCTGGGCATTATCCCTGAACTTTCACTTTAGAGCTCTACCACTTGAGCCACAGCCTTTTCTTCTTCCTCCTCCTCCTCCTCCTCCTCCTCCTCCTCCTCCTCCTCCTCCTCCTCCTCCTTTCTTCTTCCTTTTTGCTGGTTCATTCGAGATAAGAGTCTCACAGACTTTCCTGGCTCAGGCTGGTTGCAAATGGCAATCCTCACATCTCAGCCACCTAAGTATTTATTATGACAGGTGTGAGCCACTAGTGTTCAGCTAATGTTATGTTTTGCTTATTTCTTTACTTTTTTCCAGTCCTGGGGCTTGAACTCAGAGTCTGGGCACTGTCCCTGGGCTTCTTTACTCAAGGCTAGCACTCTACCACTTGAGCCACAGCGCCACTTCCGGCTTTTTCTGTGTATGTGGTACAGAGGAATCGAAGTCAGGGCTTCATGCATGCAAGGCAAGCCCTCTACCACTAAGCCACATTTCCAGCCCTAATATTATGTTTTGAAGTATGATTTACATGCTCCTTCTCTAAAATGTGTCAATGGCATAGAGACAGTGCATCTGTGGATGTGACACTCACTCACCTGTTTCTCCAAACCAGTGGAAGCGACCGCCAGCAGCCTGGGCAATCTCTTTGTAGGCAGCAGCTGTGTCTGTCCGGCTGGCATAGCAGGCAGGAGGTGTAGTGTCCATGTGCGGCTCCCCCACATAGAAGAGACACACGTTCAACTGGATATCACAGCCTGCACAGGCCTCGGCCACGTAGGCACTGAGCGTGGGCTGTGGGGGAGAAGAGAAAGAAGGCCTGTAACCGAGGGCCTACAAGCCTCTGGCCTCCTGATAGGTCAGTCTGATTGATCTTTCTTGGTCCTACTGTGTGCAGGGTCTTGTACTCAGCTCTGAACATGGAAATCCATGAGACTGATTTCTCTCAGCATGAATAGAGGGGATGATGCAGACTTAGACTCTTGGCTTGGTCACAGAAGACCTGGTCTGTGACCAGCAACATGAATGTCCCTCGAGAAGACTTGCTGAGCTAGGAACAGGTTTTTTGTTTGTTTTGTTTTGTTTGCTTGTTTGTTGGTCCTAGGGTTTAAACCCAGGGCCTGGGCTCTGTCCCTGAGCTTTTGTGCTCAAGGCAAGTGCTCTACCACTGGAGCTACAGCACTACTTCTGGGTTTTTGGTAGATTATTGCAGATGAGAGTCTCATGACTTTCCTGCCCAGGTTGGCAACAAACTGCGACCCTCAGATTTTAGTCTCCTGAGTAGCTAGTGTTATAGGCATCAGCATCTTGGCTTTTTTTTTGTTTTATTTAATTTTTGGGGGGGGTCCGGTCGTGGGGCCTGAACTCTGGGCCTGTGCGCTGTCCCTTAGCTCTTCAGCTCAAGGCTAGCACTCTACCACTTGAGCCATAGCACCACTTCCGGCTTTTTTCTTTTTGCTTATGTGGTGCTGAGGAATCGAACCCAGGGCCTCAGGCATGCAAGGCAAGCACTCTACCACTGAGCCACCTTCCCAGCCCTGTTTTATTGTTTTTTATTGTTATTATAAAGGCAATATTCTGAGTGAAACAGTATCTTAACATCTTGTCAGTATAGTATACTTCATGATGAAGTTTAGAAGGGTAGAAGAGTAGAGCACTTGACTAGCATGCATGAAGCCTTGGGTTGAACTTCTAGCTCAAAAAAGCAAAAGCAAAGCTGACCGCCAGTGGTTCACACTGGGAATTCCCCGTGTGAATTCAGATCCCAGTTCAGGAATCTGAGATCTGAGGATCACAGTTTAAAGCCAGCCTAGGAATGAAAAGTCTGTGAGACTTATCTCCAAATTAACCACAAAAAAGCCAGAAGTGGAGCTGTGGCTCAAGTGATAGAGTGCTAGTCTTGAGCAAAAAAGCTCAGGGACAGTGCCCAGGCCCTGAGTTCAAACCTCGAGACACACACACACACACACACACACACACACACACACACACACACACACACACACACACACACACGCCCAGAGAAGCTGCCTGTGAGCAGCAGGATAACATGCCCAGCACCAAGCCTACCCACCACGTCCTGGTCGGGGATGCCCCCTGTGAAGAGGTAGATGCCCTGGGATTGGTGTAATTCTTTGTCCTTGAAGTCCACTTCCATGGCCTTCCGCAGGGCGCTGAGCACGTTCCTGCTGCCTTTACAATGCAGGCCCAGGGCCCACCTGGAGAGGCAGGAATGAGGCTGAGTGAGGTGGGCGAGGGGAAAGCAGTGGACACACTTGTCCTCTGACAGTTTCCCAAGGCGGTTGAGGGGCAGAGAGTTTAGACCTCTTGGTGTAGGGAGATGGAGAGAACCATGCCCACAGGCCTGCCCTCAGACACAGCTGGGGCAAAAGGCTTTGCTGTCACCTACCGCCAGGCACTCTGCAAATTGCTGTGGTTCACAGGGACCATCTCTGGCTTCCAGCTTTCAATTGTGCTTCCAAACCTTTGAAGAAAGCAAAGACAGGGCTGAGAAGGTGGCTTAGTGGTAAAGTGCTTGCCTAGCATGCTTTAAGTCTTGGGTTCAATTCCTCAGTACCATACACACAGAAAAAGCCAGAAGTGGTGCTATGGTTCAAGTGGTAGAGTGCTAGCCTTGAGCAAAAGCAGCTCAGGGACAGTGCCAAGACTGGCAAAAAGAAAGAAAGGAAGTAAGAAAGAAAGAAAGAAAGGAAGGAAGGAAGGAAGGAAGAAAGAAAAAAGAAAGAAAGGAAGGAAGGAAGGAAGGAAGGAAGAAAAAAGAAAGAAAGGAAGGAAGGAAGGAAGAAAGAAAAAAAGAAAGAAAGAAAGAAAGGAAGGAAGAAAGAAAGAGAAAGAAAGGAAGGAAGGAAGCAAGCAAGCAAAGAAAAAGAAAGTCAGGCACTGGTGCCTTATGTCTCTAATCCTAGCTACTCAGGAAGGTGAGAACTGAAGATAACAGTATGAGGCCAGCTAGGACAGGAAAGTCCATGAGACTCTTATTAACCAACAAAAAGCTGGACCAAGTGGACCACCAGCCTTAAATGAAAAAGCTAAGAGACAGTGTGAATTTAAGCCCCAATACTGGAACCACCACTAGCACCACTGGCAATGACAACAAAGAAGAAGAAGAAGGAGAAGGAGAAGGAGAAGGAGGAGGAGAAGGAGAAGGAGGAGGAGGAGGAGGAGGAGAAGAAGAAGAAGAAGAAGAAGAAGAAGAAGAAGAAGAAGAAGAAGAAGAAGAAGAAGAAGAAGAAGAAGAAGAAGAA